CCCTCCGGTCAAGAAGTTCAAAATTAGGGCCGGCTAGTGCAGATAACCCTCTTGTAGCTTTACGCGAAATTCATAACAAACAAACGAATTTTCAATTTTAAAGCTATTTTTCAAAAGCTGATACAAAATGTGGCGTTTCTGTAACTTGAAAATGACAGGACAATATTTTTAGAGGTTTATAAACAATATTAATTTTAATGCTTACTTAAATTCTAGTGTGCTAATTTGAAACATTTCATACTACAGGTTGAAAACTTTAACCTGTTTATCTTTGTTTTTTATTCAATAAGGAAATCTATAAGAAAACACCATTTATCTGTTAGTGCAATTCGTATAACTCGAACAATGTGTTACAACAACCAGCTTCAATCCGACTACAACTTACAAGAACAGCGATTGCAGGGTCTTCTGAGTTATCCTTCTCCAAAAGTTAAAAAAAAGTACAATTACCTGCAATACAGGCGGTCATAAAACAAGCAGCTGATCCCGCTATCATAGCTCGAACAGCAACTCTTGCTATGTCATTCTTTCTGCTTGGTGCCAAGGTTCCTAGTGCTCCAAGCTGAATTCCGATCGCACTAATGTTTGAAAATCCACAGAGGGCGTAAGTAGCTATCGCCTCTGACCTAGGCTAAAATGGAAAAATTAACAGAATCGTTATTTTTGTGTTCTTAACGTTTAAATTTATATCACTAATATAAATAAAAGAAATATAAACTACTCAGAAAAAACAAATAAAATAACGTCATCAAAAGAATGCCTTAAGAATATGTAAGTTTGAATTTTATCAGAATATCAGATAGTAAGTAAGGTTAGGAATATTTAACAATTTCACATAGCAGTCTAGATGGTTTTATTACTTAATATCGTAACCTAGCGTGTTAATATATTATTGCAAAAAATTATAAGTTTTATGGGGCGTAGTAGGTTGTATGAACCGAAATATTACGACCCAAAATATCGTAAAAAAGCGAAGATACCCGACTGATGAAATAATTCGTTCTAACCTTTGTAAGTAAGGACGTAAGAAAGTATGTTTAATTAGCTATACTCATTACCAGGTTGATTTTTTAGTTTCGATCTAAATTGGTAGCTTGCTCTAATCGGAAGTCAATTTTAATTTCAATGATAAGAAAATGAACCATATATTTGTCTGGAAGTTCTTGTGTCACCAAATTTCCTACCCATTACTACATGTGACGTGGGAACATTGTAAAGTCTGAGAGGGTTTAGGTAGCTTAGTTAACCCAACGAACTATTGAGAATATACTATGATCATGTGAAAGAAAATATAGGAGTTTCTTGAGCAGATATCTAATTATTTTCACAAATGTTCCTGTTGCAACGTATTCTACTACTGGGCGAATTATTTTGGATTATTTACTAAAGATAATGCCAAGTCCAGTCCGCGTAAAGATAATGAATTAATCTATTTCTTCAATAACGTTTGCTACAGGCTACATTCACTTTGACTCAAGTTGTAGGCCTAAGTTCACAAACAGATATTTCAACATAAACTCAGAAACTGCTGCAGGTCTAATATACTAATAACGATTAACAAAAATTCCCTCGATTGGTTAGTTTAACAAAAGCATTAATTCTAATTGAATGTCTTTACTAGATCAATCTATTCTAGATCGTCAACTACTCGATTTCTCCACTCTGAATACTTCACTGAATTCCCAGTCACTGAACTAACTGCTCCTTCATTACTCGTACTCGTAACTAATGTACTAATCTATATATCAGTTGAAGTTTCCAGATCATTTCTTCTAGCAAGCATCTAAATTTAAACATTGCAACTTTTGCTTACAACATTAGATATACAGAAACAATTTATTTGAATTTATGTAAATAAAGCACATTCATTGGACTGAATATTAGTCATATTATACTGATATTGATTCATTTATTTTGAAGCCACACTTCAGTTTTAATTTTCTGTACTTATGTATATAACCTCTGTGAAATGTAAAACTTGATTATAAACAAAGAGGTATTTGCTGCATTTAGGAATTAATAATATTAATAATTATAATAATAATATTTTATCGTTCATTGTCACACACACACAGAATAAATACCAAACACGATAAAAAATTGAACTTTACTTATACTTGGGAAGAACATTTAATGTAGATTTTCTTTTCTTTATATTATCGCGCATGTCACTCCAATTGTACTCAAGTGTTTCAAAAGAATATTCTTATCTTCTATTCTCAGTATTGTTGTTCCACGAAAAGCGACCAGCTCTCTACATGTATTTATTATACAATAGGTGGGGTGTAAATTCAACTCTTAACTTTTTTACAGGCCTACAATTTTGTTTTCACTCACAATTACATTTTCGGTTCCCTTTTACACTACCTTCAAAATTCTCGTTCTCCCGCGAAGATGACAATTAAAATCTGTTGTTTTTTACTTTAAGTATTAGATATTGACAACAGAGAAACTCTCCATCAAGCTTCTATTCCTGTGTTACAGAATGAAAAGTTTTGTCAATGTACGCGGCGTGAGAATTTGTGAGAGAATGTGTGTGTGTTTTCTTCTAGCAAAACCACATCGGGCTATTTGCTGTGTCCACCGAGGGGGAATCGAACCCCTGATTTTAGGGTTGTAAATCCGATAACTTATCGTTGTCCCATCGGTGGAGGTTATGTGTGTGTGAGAGAGAGAGAGATGTCAGTTTGTGATCAAAGTTAAACTTATTCTGTTACGAACAACCTGCTGGTTTGATTTTATAAAATCGTAATACATTTGTTAAAGATGAAGTGAAATTTTGTAAGTGAATACGTTGTTATGTATCGGAAATATTTAAAAGAAATCAATCACTAGATCTCGGTCTAATAGAAGGAACCGAAGGTTTCAGAAAAAAATATTTCATTAATTCCAAATCAGCATTTAGATTTATGAAAATTCTAAAAACAACGAGTTTATAAAGTTACTAAATCTTAAATCATTTGTTGAACACTTGTCTTAAGAACTGGTCAGCTGTATTTCAACTATCATTCTCACAGGTTTCTAGCGACACAACAGTATAAAGAATCTGCATACTTTCTGACATGTTCATCCCTACTCGTCTATTTGTTATATGTAGGTTAAGTATAGAAAAACGACATATTGTTGTAACGTCTTCTATCATTGGGCTTGATTATTTGATAAAAATAATGACAATTTCAATCCACGTAACAAAAACGAATTAATTAATTTCTTCAATAAATATTTACTACAGCTACGTTCACTTGTAGGCATAATTTCAAATACAAAAACTTTTCCACAAACGGAGCGAAAGTAGGCATAACTTTAAATACAACGTTTAAATATAAACTTAAGTTTATTAAGTAAGCTTAACTTACTTCTATAATTCCTCAGCTAATCGATCTAACAAGTGAATAAGACGCGATAATTATTCTTACTGAACTCAATCACTCACTAAATACTTCACACTAACATTAACTCATTGGGTCTCATATACTTGCATCCCTATCACATCAAACATGCTCGCCCTTTCAGCCGTGGGGGGCGTTATAATGTGACGGTCAATCCCACTATTCGTTGGTAAAAGAGTACCCCAAGAGTTGACTAGCTGCCTTCCCTCTAGTCTTACACTGTTAAATTAGGGACGGCTAGCGCAGATAGCCCTAGTGTAGCTTTGCGCGAAATTAGAAAACAAACAAACATATACTTGCAACCTTGTATCTAGACGTTAGAGAATATTTTTAATTGTTATGCCATCATGATTAGCAGTTATCTCTGGCAAACAATTAAATTATAACATTGGAAATATAGTTTTCAAAAACAACAACAAAACCCTTAGAAACGTTATCTGCCCTCCAGCCTCACTTAACTACTGTGTGCATTTTTTAAAAGACTTAAAAGACATAGCAGGTAGAGAATAAATGAAAAACATTTTTTAATGGACAGTGAGCTGATGGAGAGGAAGAGGGACGATGTGCTAATCCACTAATATGTATCCTCTTTAGGCCCCTCTACTTTTACAACAGAAAGTGCCGTGCAAAATTGTTTTGTTTTGAATTTCGCGCAAAGCTACACGAGGGTTAGCTGCACTAGCCATCCCTAATTTAGTAGTGATAAACTCTTGGGATATTCTTTTATCAACGAATAGTGGAATTGGCTGTTACTTTATAACACCCCCACGGTTGAAAGAGCGAGTATGTTCGGTGACGAGGATTTGAATCCGCGACCTGCAGATGACGGGACAATCGCTCCAACCATCAGGTCGTGCCAGGCTGCTGTTCATAAGATACCTGTATTTATTGCTGCTGTGAACTGATAAATAGAAATTGTATTTATTTATTTACTAGTATATATTGTGCTTTAATTAATAAGTATGCAGCAAAGTTTCTTTATACCAAAGTGAAAGACACTAAGAACATGAACCCTAACAAAAAAAAAGTAGAATAAAATATTGTAAAAAAAAGATAAAACTACTTTTTTTTTATTAAAGTAACATACTTTAAATGTCTTGTAAAATGTCTGATTCAGTGGCATAGTCGAAGGTAAACGTAGGTAATCTTCCCACTTCCAATTTGAGAAAAATGGGTTTTGCCTACTTTTAGTTTATTGGTTACCATGCCATTGATTGGCCTGGATACCAACCAATAAAATTGGTCAGATTATCCTCTTGTTTTCAACCAATACGGCACTGGTTTTATTTCAAAATATAATTAAATTAAAACATCCAAAGCTCTGCTACTTTTCAGGTTAATTATAATTATAGTATGTTATTATGATACATTCAAAAATAAGAAAATCAAATGATTATATTAAAAAAAACCCGACTAACCGTAAGTGTTTGTTTTTCTATTAATTTGCCTAATTCAGCATAAGCGACGAACTCGTTTACTGTGGTCTTAATACCTATAAGTCGAGAAACTTCCTGGCAGTCTATCCACGGAACTCCCATGATGAACGCTAGAGGGACAAATATCTTGGAAAGTAGCCACTGACAAGATAAAACAAAATTATCATAAATTAATGAATAAAATAATAACTTCAGGCTTTTATCTGATACAATTAACTGCATACGTGTTGTCGCTTTCCGCTACTTCTGTCTGCAACAAAATTATATCAATGATTAAAAATATAAATTCGAAATTTTTTAAATTTATTCTTATATTTTTAAACCTGCGCTCCTCTTTTTTTCACCCTTTCTGTGTCAAACAGATTACGGTTTTTATAGGTATGGTACAAAGATGTTCTTCACTGAAATTATTGAAAAAGGTTTTAACTGACAGTATGGTGATAAAAACTCATAAGACCGGCTGAGTTCTGTCGCGTCGAGAAAAGGAACATCAAATTGATAAAGCGAACCAATATTCTATAGATAATCATGTAATTATGGTTAAGATTTATGAAATCGTTGGAAAAAAATGTTCGAACTCAAATATAAAATAAAGCATTTCTTATTTCGATTATATATCTAAAAAAAGGACCATAAAAGCTGACACCTCAAACATTCTTTCTCAAAGTGGACTTACAAATGGACTAAGTTAACAAAACTGACTCAATGTCCCTGTTTATAATGATATTTTTATTACATAACAAGACTCATGATAAATGCTGTAACAGAATCTGTTGCAAATTTAGTTTTAATCGAAAGTGAAATATTGCATTTGGATTGGTTACCTAGTTCAGTAGAAAAGGCTTAACGTTTCTTAATAATCAAATTTAACATTTCTGTCACCTCAAAAGTAATGAAGTCCCAACCAATCAGGCTTCCAAACCAAGTCAGAGAGGAATCCAGGAACCTCAAGAAGGCAATGAAAGCTATTAAATTTGCAGCAATGTTTGCTACTAATGGAATTGCTGAGGACACGCCATTAGTAGCTGCTTCTAGCACGTTATGTTCTTTGCTAAGAAATAAAGATACCCACAGATAGAATATAACTAACTAAAACAAAAACCAACTTACGGGAAATTTATATTTCTACGAAAAGACATTTTTTAAATTAAAAATATTTAGGTTTTGAAAGATTGAAAACACCTATAGTCCCTTTTTTTTCAAACAGTTAATCTCAGAATAGTTTAATTATGACACAATTTATTTATTGCATTCAAACTTACAGTGTATTCAGTAAATCTAGTTATTGTTATAAGACATACAATTTTCAAGTGTAACTTTTCTAATAATAAAGTTTGAAGTCATTCAAGTGCACAGTATTGTTAAATACTGATTCTCTATCGAATATGATTTATTTTGAAAAATCATAAGCTTTGCATATTTTAAGCAACAATAAAGTATTTACAAACCCTTTTTCAATAGAAATATTCTTCGCGTCGGTTCTACTTTCTTCTGTCTCCGGATAAAACAATTTGGAATAAGCCAAGGCTGCTGGAGCTGACATTACAGATGCTGACAACAGGTGGCTTGGACTAACCTGAAGTGGTTGAAGCAGATGTTTATGAAAAATTTCAATAAGTTGGATTATGGGATTCAATTAGTTATAATATAGTCATGAGTTAATAAAGCTGGTTTGTAGTGGATATAGAAATTATTGAACCGAGAAATTTCACTGATTTATCATAAATAGTTGAAATAATTAGACTGAATTTATTGATAATTAAGAAGAGGATCATTTTAATTCTTTTGTGGTCGGTAAATATGAAAAATATACTATATATATGTTAGACGTGATAGTTTGCTTTTGTGTGTGAAAGGATGTTAGTAATTGGAATGAATTGTAATGAATATATAGAGACGGCTAGAAGCGACCTCTAGTGAATAGTATGAATGGTTAGGCTAAAATTCAAATAGGTTAATAGAAATGAGAAATATGAATTTGAAGGACAAATAGAACGTATCATCTGTGTATATTTGCATTAATGAATAAGTTATTAGTAGACTATGTTTTTGAGATGTTGTGCACACTCGATGAGAAAGTTATATATAGCCGTGGATTCCATACAAACCCCGAAACTGATGAAAGCTGCCATCACGCTTCCCGCTATGGATGCAAATCCACCTGTCATCACAGCATGTATTTCAGATTTCGTCAACAAGGGAAGATATGGTTGAATTAACAATGGTGCCTCTGTCTACATGAGAATTATTTTAGATCAAACGGAGCAAGGCATTTAAAGTTCACAATTATACTTTGATTATGACAGTAACTGTTATCACATAATAATAAAAGTGGGGTTTTAAAAATTGGGACATATATTAATTATTTCTGGTTATAACCAATAAAGAATGTAATTCAAGATGCACTACACATAACGAACACAATCTGACAGTATGAATTAGTAAGGTGTATCAAATTTGATGTAACTTGATTACAATACAGTTTAAAAACTAATTATTACAGTTAAACAGATGTATAAAAGTTATATATTACACACTTTTAACCAGCTGAAGGAGCTGCAGCTTAAAATGATCAGATTATTTAAATAATCAGTTAGATATTTTAAGCACAATTACCAGATTGTTTTGAATCTTCAGTTAGATACTCTCAATGCAATGACCAGATTGTTTGAGTCATCAATTATATACCATCAATACAATGATTAGATTATTCAAGTAATCAGTTAGATATTTTCAACACAATGACAGGATTGTTTTGAATTTTCAGTTAGATACTCTACAATGACCAAATCGTTCAAATAAAGCAATTAAATATTTTCAGCATAATGATCAGATTGTTTGAGTCATCAATTAGATACTCTCAACACAATGACCAGATTGTTTTGAATTTTCAGCTAGATACTCTCCATACAATGATTAAATCGTTCAAATAATCAGTTAGATATTTTCAGCACAATGATCAGATTGTTTTGAATCTTTAGTTAGATACTCTCAATACAATGATTAGATTATTCAAATAATCAATTAGATATTTTCAGCACAATGATCAGATTGTTTGAGTCATCAATTAAATACTCTCAATGCAATGATCAGATTATTTGAATCACCAGTTAGATATTTTCAGCACAATTAGCGGATTGTTTTGAATATTCAATTAGATGTTGTCAAGACATATCTAATAATCACAAAGAATTTTACCTTAAGCCTAATCCACATAGGTTAATAATGCTGATAATTTTCTAAAATTAATGATGATTACACCATTTATTAGCTTTATTTGATGCTTATACTTCCAAGTTTCTCTTTATAGCTCTTAATAATATATTAAAATACTAGTTAGG